TTTTTTTTTTTTTTTTTTTTTTTTTTGCGCTGAGGCTGCCCGGGGCCATGCCCGGGGCTCATGCCCGGCCGGTCACCCGGTCGCCAATCCGGGCGTGACATCGGGACCCGGGCGCCCGGGATATCTCCCTAGCTTTTTTCTGGTTTCCTTTTCTTTTTTTTCTTAGTGCAATATCATCTCTTCTGCCCACCCCCCCCCTCCTTTTGCTCTGCGTTTGTCTCCTCCTCCCCATCGTGAAGCGGAGCCTCCTCACCGTTGTACTGGGTCATCCTGCTGCACAGTTGATTCCCCCCTTTCTCTCTCTCTCCTCTCTAATGCCCCTTCCCTCACTGCTAATTCCCTCTGCACTCCTCTCTATACTACTATGCATTCCTCCCTATACTACTCCGAACATGTCAATATATCTTTCCATAGTCTAGCTGCATACCCATTCTGTTCTGTCACCTGTGCGAGTGGTGAGCGGCGCTACGGTGCAAAGGAAACAAGAATACAATAGTGTATCTTGCCGCATTCAAGCTGAGGATTCATTCTAATCCGGTGATAGAGTGGGAGTGTGAATGCATGATGTATCTTCCCATTTTCTAGCTGAAGATTTGTTCTCATTGTTGAGCAATGAAGTGGGAGCTCGCATGCACTGAGAACCACGCAAGTACAAGAGCACACTCAGTCCATGTGAGCGCGCGCGCGCGCGCGAGAGAGAGAGAGAGAGAGAGAGAGAGAGAGAGTAAAGCAGGAAGATGGAACTCCAACGTGGGCTGAGCCGCCATGGAACGCAGACAAAGCTCAAAATATGCCAGGTATCACACGAAATACGAAAATGCCATTAAGTTATGCACAAATTCCAAAAATGCCACTGCACTGCAAGCCTTTCAAAAACGGCAGACATTTTTGATAGTAGAAAACTCGATTGGGCACCCTTAGATAGCGCTCATAGAGCTTGTCACGTGGTTGGTGAAGAAGGGAGGCTGGCACTTGCACCTGGAGGTGAGCACACACACATAGTAGTGAGAGAAGACAGCAAATGAATCTAGCGCTAGGAGTGAGCCACATTCACCCTGTAGTACCTGTACCATTTGTTCAGGGAAAGATGGAGGGAATGGAAATAAAAGACAGGCATTAATGTCCTCAGTAGCGCTCGAAATGCACCTATCAACCACTATAACGTGCATTACATGTCGTAGAGCACAATGGCCTAATAAGCGTCGAGCGCCCGCAGGGAGGGGAAACACCCTGGGGTTTAAAATGAATCTGGAACGGCCTGATGTCATTATTCATTGCAACAAAAATGCCCGCAAGAACAGCGAACTATTTTTTTCAGTACTACAGCAACTGGCAAATTGAATTGTTGAATTATCTACTTACTTAGCGAGATCTTGCTGATATCGGTGCGGGATACGGAGAGAAAGAGAGAAAGAGAGAGGAAGGGAAAGAAGTTCCGTTTTCCTAGATCAGACAGCACGAAGGGGGAGGAAGACGACGGTCGACCATCCAACACAGTACAAATCTGAAATGCGCATTTGTCTCTGCTGAAGGGAAAATTCCAAAAATACCACTGAAGTTTTTGAATGTTCCAAAAAATGCCCTCATGAGAAGGGCGATTGATTGTGAAAAATAGCAGGGGTCTACTTACCCCACCATCGCTGTGCAGTCAGGCGTGCCAACTTGTCGTGAGTGAACCTGATTTAATTTTATTAACTCCTACATGTACTTCTAGTATTTTACAAGCAGACTTTGCAGAATTCCGTGGATCGAGATTCAATGGAATCTAATTCTGATGTGATCCTAGCAGATGGAATCTTAGCAGATGTTAATCACTACATAAAGTCCACCAAGTTCTTCCTTTGTGAGCAAGGGGGGAAGCAAATCTCCGTGCTGGAAGAGCTAGGGAACAATTTGACCGCGATTAACTGGACCAAACGGCATCAATGCCATGGGTACGAGGGGAATGGAAGTTAAGTTATGATTATTACTAATTGTTAGAGTATTAAAGTTGGTTTATTCTCAGCGCAATCTGGGCTTATCAGTTGCCGCTGGGACTGACCAGATCTACAAGCATAAAACACAAGACGGGCAGTACAGGACTGAGCAGCAAAGTCCCAGACCGGGCCCAAAACTACACAGACTGGGACGGGGTAAAAAAACTCAGGAGACTGAGACTGAGCAAATGAGTGAAGAAGCATAAAACACAAGACAGCAGTATGGAACTGACCCGCAAAGACCCAGACCGGGCCTAAACCTACATAGACTCGGACGGAGTAAAGGACTCAGGAGACTGAGACTGAGCAAATGAGTGACCACAAATCTGGAAACCTGACTCGTATCAGCAGAAGTCTGAGAGTCAGCGAAGACCCTGACCAGCAGAAACTTCGACTAGAGGGGTCTGTGAACTCTGCAAAAAGTCCAGTTGTCAGCAGCAGTCCACGGTCAGACTCCAAGGTCAGGATTTCAGACCCAGCATTCTCAGCGGGAAATCAGCTGGCCAGCGACAGGAACCAGACTCGGATGATTGAGACAGCCGCAAGGGATGAGTCGGTAGCGAATCGCCGCAGACCCGGACATATCTGATTAAGATATCAGCTGCTGCAGATTCGGCACAGACCTACCAGCAAACTGCTGCAGACTCCGAAACGTCTGGGCATGTTCCAGGTTCGTCTCGGCATGTTCCAGGTTCTAAACAGACTCGGTGGTCATCTACTGCTGCGGACTGAGAAAAGTTATCACGGAACAACAGTTCAACAGAAACAGACCAGAAGACATGGATTAGTCAGATCAGCAGACACCAATCAGAAGATACAGATCAGACAACATCAGATCGGCGAAACAGAGATTGAGAGATGCACACTCTGCAAGACTCGAAACAACAAAAAGATGCAAGCTCAGCAGGATTCAGACGCAGGGAGCAAACAGCAGTAGTTGCAGTAATTCTCAGACATAGCAAATCGCAGCAAACTCGGAGACGCGAGGCAACATTTGCAGATCTTCTCAGACCAGCGGAGCTGAGACCAGCAGATCTGGGAGCTGCCAAGATCAGGCTCTGAATCTGTTTGCAGGTATCAGTCTCAAAAACAGTTTGCGGATATTTGACTCGGATCTGATATCAGTTATTAGACTCAGGGACAGTTACTGATAACAGAGCCAAATTCAGAATCAGAAACCGTTTGGACCTATTAGACTTTGATGTCGGGCTTAGAGGACTTGGACACACGACACGCCGCTCCGGCCGCCAAGGTCGGTTGCCTACCACCGTTCGCACACTGAGAGCTCAAGCGCTGTTCTCGAGCGCTGTTCTCGAGCGCTGTTCTCGAGCGCTGTTCTCGAGCGCTGTTCTAGAGATCCCAGAAACCGTTTGGACCTATCAGAGGGAAGAAGAGGGACTAACCGGAGAATCGAGAAGAGATCAGTTGAGACTCAAACAGAAAGGAGTTCTAGTGCACAGTCAATTCTGCGTACCAGCAGTAGAACTCCTTTCTGTTTGAGTCTCAACTGATCTTTTCTGTCACAGAGGGCTGCAGTATCAACGGGCCAAAGCCGAACAGAGTCAACAGACTGTTTTAACCTCAAGAGGTCTTGATTTCTGGTTCTGTTCAATGGAGGTGGTCGATTTGGACCAAACAATTTGACCCAGGTGGATTGTCGAAGGTGTTTGAGAAATAGAGAGTTCCAAAGTCCTACTCTGCATCCGACGGGTCAGGTGCTATTGACACCGAGGTGAGCCAGAGGGGTTCATCCTAGGTTATCTACCAGGTCAGTCCGTACACTGACCCTCAGAAGTACCAAGTTCAGCCACTGCTGGACAGAATCTGATGTAGCAGAACTTGTCATTATAGATTAAACGTTTTCTCATTTACTGTTTATATCAGGCCCTTCTGATGTGGCCAGTCAAGTACTTAGACGGTTGTGATTGGTACTGACGTTTTTTGTTGCAGGTTGCAGGAGCCTAGAAATAGCCCTCCCGTGGGTGACAAACGTGGGGGGCGCAATCAGGGTTAATTTCACGTGCCGGCAGATCCGTTCACCCGGTCTACATGGGCGCAGGCCACCCAGCGGAACCACCTTGCCAGATAACCTCGCCACCTACCTGGCAAAAACACTACTCAGTTTCCAAATTAATTACCAAATCAATTTCACAAATGCTACCCTCCTAACGACCCTCAGCAGTCCAAATCAATTTCACAAATGCTACCCTCCTAACGACCCTCAGCAGTCCA